CCATACATTTATAAATCTCACTGGATAAGGGTCAGAACCTGCTACTAGCAGATGTAATATCTTTTATATTCTCAGGCTGGCTCTGTTGGGACAACAGAGTTTTAATCTATGTCAAGCTATGACATTAGTTAAAACTTAAAAGGAAATAATCAAGGACACTGCTGCTAGAACAAGAAGTCCCCAGCTTCTTGGCACAAATTGAAACCTTATAATAGCATATTAAAATCTGATAACTATGTTGGTGTGCACTTATATGAGCTGCTTATATGTGTAGCTGCTGTTGTAAGAGGAAGGCATTAACAATGTAAGTAGACTACACAAATAGTGGAACCACAAAGGAACATTTGAGGTCATCAGCTCCTACAATAATGAGCTCACTTAAGTATCTGGAGATAGAAGTGCACTATTAAACACTGTTTTGAACTCTGATTAAAGATGCACTGCATTTTTATAGTTTTGTAGTTCTAACAGATTAAATATTGGTATTCTCAAAGGATGTTCTTAAAACAGAATATATAATTTTTAAATTTTAACTCTCCATACATATACAAACTCTATCTCTCTGTGTATATGTTTATAGAGATTTTATATAATTCTTACACTGGTATAGACACTCTATTATCAGTGTAAGGATTTATATATATGTATATAGTCTTGCACAATGCATACCGACCAGCTTTCACATGTAGCATTTTTTCCAAATGCATAGCTGATGTCTCTAAAACTAGTTCTCCTCACATATGAAAGCTTTTTTTTTTTTCTTTGCTACAGTTATTATTTTTATTAATGTCAGGAAATTAAAAAGAGACTGAAAATGCATAGGGGTTTACATCCGAATTCAATAGAAGAATGAGTCACAGAATTTATTTTTGGCATGGTGTTTTTACAATTAAGCTCTAGAACATTTCTGCTTTACCATCATAAACAGATTTTACCATTTTGCATTACTTTAAAACAATATTCTGTATGAGAGTGAACAAGCTCTCAACCATGGAGATGGTACAAAACCTATGGAGAAAGGAAATTACAGCATAATGGAAATGATGGCTGGGAGCCATACCACCCAGATCTGTTAGCTCATCCAAACAGAAATGCCAGGCTGAGCTGACTTGGTCAGTGCCTTGGTTGGGATCTCTGAGGAAACCTCCAAGGTTGCTGCAGGAAGTGGTGACAGCAACATTGTAGGTGGTATTCTCTGTTCCTGAGTCACCACTGGGTCAATAACCTGTGTGATGGGAGCCAATAGGATTTCCTGGAAGAGCTGTGGGCATGATGTGAAACCATGGTCCTGAATATCAGGGATTGAAATTTCAAGACCATCATGAACTTTGTACAAGGAGTAGACCTGGTGACCCTGGGTACCTGATCAAATTCCAGTATCAGTCTTTCTTTCACAATTTCTCCAAATTGTTGCAGTATTTCCTCTTCCTTGGGGCAAGAGAATAAAACCAGTAATGTCATGCCAGGATGATGGAGTGCTGAAAAACGTTCAAACTCCATTATAAGAGACTTTTACTCAAATCCTGTCATAAACTTGAATGAGATTTGGATCACATCTAGAGCCCTTAGTACAGAAGGACTGTGACAGGGCTAATGTGTTGTTGAAGGAGCTCTTCCCTTTTCATGCCTTTCCCGTTTGAGCAATGCTGCCACTGCCTTTCAGCCATAATCACCAGCCATTACTCAGAGATGCTGTCAGGCCCCATCGTGCTCCCAGAGCAGCTTGAAACCAGATTGTTCTCCTCCCCAACCCCACTATGGTGTAGTGACACTATGACATTACATTCTCCCCAGAAACAATGACACAAATCTGATTTATAACTGGTGGTAAAACTTTATTATTCAAGTTTAGATGTAACAGACATCTTTGCTGCCTGAAGATTGTTTGCATAAGAAATACACCAAGAACATGTTTGTGAGTAGAAATGAACATGCACTATGAAAACCAAAAAACAAAACAAAACAAAAAAACCCGAAACAAAACAGAACAAAAAACACATCCATGTGTTGTAAGGACAAAACATTAAGAGCCAGCATTCTAGAGTCAAATCAGGGCTACAAGTTTAATGATGGTTTTTAGCAACATGAAGTCATTCTTTATGAAGCAATTTTTTTCTTTTTTTTTTTTTTTTTCCTTTTCCTGCTGGTGAATTTTCTATAAGCTAAATTTACAATGGCATTTTGAGATGTTTCCTTTTCTCCTGTTCTCCTAGACAGAGCTCAGAGGCCAAAATGATAGGAATGAAAAACTGTGGTAGCTGTTAGGATGTTTTTACTTTACTAAGTGTAATTTTGCTTTCCTAGTAAAAGAATTTTACTAAGTGTAACAAAGAATCAAATGAAACTGGTATTTATCTGGTGGTCAGCCATTTAAGTATTGTCTTTTATCCTCTTAAAGTAAATTGGGGTGTGTGTGATTACTATACAGGTAGCATCTCCCCAACTGCCAGCTTTCCAGAGCTGGCTAAATGAAATAAAAACTGTGAGGAAGAGGGTAGTGAGGAATCCTATTCTGAGGTGAGAAAATTAAGTAAATGATTTTACTTGGCCCATCTTAACTTTAGAGAAAAGTTTAGAAGGGAATTCTCACTTATCTATCACATTTGGGATATGCTGACAAATTGCTCACTGCTCTTTGCCAAGCATAACTGTCTCCACAGAAGCAGAAGGAAATATATCTACCCTTCTGACTGCACAGAAGCGACCTTCTAATCTCCTTGGCTTTTCCTGACCAGTATTAGGAATTAGCATGTAAAGTCAGCCAAGAAAAATCAATACAGGAGCAAAAATGAGAATATATTTAGATATACTGGGCAAAAAGCAGATGGTAGACAACATTTTTAGCACATAAAGCAAGTAGTTATGACTACAAAACAACAGTGTCCAGTCCAAGGGTGGACTTGAAAGTCTGTCCCTGAACTGAGTACTAATCCACAGTTGCCAAATCAGTTTTTCCCATTGCACAATCACTATGTTTCAGCACTGTATACAATCAGCATCAGTCACTTGTCCTGCTGCCCCTCTAACTGCAAAATTAATCTATTGCTCACAGTGTGTCTCAACCTTTTGAGATGTCTCAATTTTTCTCTCTTTAAAACTGTCACAATAGAAAATGATGCCTTTTTTAGGCAAAACCAAGATATGTGTATCCAGTGTCTTTCCCCCTTTCTGGATAGTCAATGAAAAATTAAGGGAAGAGTTTCATCAGCATGGTGGCAATTAGGTGCAAAACTTCTTTTGGAAAGTACTCAAAGTTTAGCACCTGAACACAAGCTGTGGAACATCTTCATCTGCAGCATTAAGGGGGCAGCAGCCATGAAGTGACATCTTAGACAAAACAACCTGGTTTGCAGATGATGTCACAGGATGGCTCCATCTATACAGAGAGTTTCTGGAAACACTGTGCCTGCTCCACAATCTGATTAGCAACAGACATCACAAATCCTCTAGTTTTGAAACATCTACTTATTTGGTTGTCCAAATTGAGATATGTTTTAAGATCTTAAACTACTATTCCTTTAGTAAGAGAAGTTCAGCACCTTAAAGCCACTGACAAATTGAGAACAAAGACTGATTGTTTGAAATTTCAATTTTCAGTGCTGTAAGTTGATTGAAACACAGTGGGTGCAGTAATTACTTGTGTGTGCTAACATTGGTTTCCATCTGAAAGTTATTAAGATTATTTTTTTCCTGTGTCAAGATTTTTTTTCCTTTTTATTAGTTCCCATTGTGAGGGGATCTGGAATATGGATGGAGTCACCTCTATTTTGTTAAGAAACAAAACTGTGCTCCCCCTATCCCAATCAAAGAGAACAGGCTATAGCAAAATCCTATTTCTTAAAATGCAGAAATCTTAGAACATCTCAATATGTCATGGCAAGAACAATGAACTTTTTCAAATTTTATTTGCACCATCTAGATGTGCAATAGCAACATTCAAAACTCTGTCTTGTTCTTTGCACTCAAAAGATTTCATTTCTCCTCATCCCCAAACCCTGATATGTGTATTTCCTGTTAATTTGCCTCTGCTTCTGAGTTTAGCAAGAAGTGTTATGAAGTTCAGGGTAGTGCTCAAGTCTTACAGTGCACATGTCCCTCTAAAATATTTTGCCATGAAGATGCAGCTTCTATTAATGAAGAAGCCAGAGGAACTGGTAGGTCGTAAGTGAAGTAAATCAAACCAGTAACTACTGAAAATCGGCAGGCAGCTACCTTTGAAGCCGATAAAAATCACTGCTGAGTATAACATCTTCCTTGGAAAAGCTGAAAAGGACACACACTGCACCCTGATGTAACGAAATGAGGGCAATCTATTTCAGTCCCCACAGAAAAAAAAAAAAAGAAACAGAAAGTACCCAACAAAAATAAATCCACAAAAACCAAGTCAGAACTTATTACTGGAGAACAATAGTAAAAACATAACCAGACTTTGTCACTGGTATCAAGCTGGAGATTCATCTAAAAAATAGAAGAAGAAGAATGTGGCCCAACATCCTTTGCTAACCTAGAACACTACTGAAGGGTTACAGAGCTCAACCACAGCAGATTGAGCGGGATGTTCCATATGCTGCTCACCAGTAAAGAAGCAATGGGTGGAGCAGGAAGGAATGCAGCCTAATGCTGAACAATAGCCTGTCTGTGCCTAACAGAGAAACTGTGCAATAATGTTTCACCTCTGTGAAAATATAACACCTAAATACTGCCAAGGTCAGCGAGACCTTTGGTGATCAACTGTGTAAGTGCCTCTCATGCTTGGTGATGTTTGTTGCCAGCTGCTTTAGGCACATTACTTCTCAAAAGACTATCAAAAGTGCTGAATGTTTAGGCAGTTCCCTCCTGGTTTTCCTTTTGCCAACCCCTATAAGACATTTCCTATCACCTCTCCTTTTATTTTCCACCTCCCTGTTTATCTGGTAAAGTATCTTAATAAGTGCACCAAATACTGGAAGGGAGAGTGGTGAGACTCAGGTAAGTTAAATACAAGAACTTTTTTTTTTTTATGATGCTTTAGTTCAATTACATGAAAATCTGAGAAAGGCGGCATGTAAGTGAGATCAGAATAGGACCCTTTACATATAATCTCAAGAGAGGACTTCGTCCAGAGATATTTTTATAGAACATTTTAAAAAATAAAATGCATGAATGGAGAAATAAAAGACAACATAATATCAGAAAGACATTTTAAACTTCATTCGCTGCAACATTCATGAACCAGTTGAGCTACACCTGCCATCCAACCATAAGGAACTAAGACCCTGCACTGCGAAAAAGAAACAAACCCAAACAAAACAAAAAAGCAACTGCGTAATATTGTAAAAATGGAGTGCAATGCTACTACAGAATGCAATAAAATATCAGTGCTGCATCGTCAAACAGCACTTATCAAAATAATTTCTGAAATGTTTCTTCTGAAACACAGACAAAGCAATAAAAAGAGGATATATGTTTATCATTTTAAGCATAACAATGTGAGTTAAGAGCTTAAGAATACAAAAGTACTTGGAATGAATAGTGCTACCCTTTTTTCCTAAGTAGGCATAAAAATATTTTCATTTCCTTCTTGTTTTTTATACCATTAATATCAACAAATTTCATTCATTTCATGTTATCGTTTACAACTTTAATGCACACACACAGAAAAAAAGATACCTACTGCAATAGAAATAGTTGCTTCATTACCTTGTTTGCTACATTTGCAAATGTAAACAGCGAGGCAGAGCCAGAACTGACTCTAATGCATGATGGAATATCTTTGTTGCATACGTACACTGTAGAAAATAATTATTCAATATGTCAGGCACCATTATTTGAAATGTAATACATTAATATTTACTAGAAAAATAAGGTTTTTTTCTATTTGTTCTCCCAACTTCTTTAATGAAATAAGTTAATCTGACAGTGCATCCAGTAGCTTGTAATATCTTCTACATCCCTGTGGCAAAATAATAAACTACTGGTTGGGACACTATAATGAAAATGATTAAAGTCAGTTCTTGTACACCCTTGTAGCAAGCATGGAGGCTCATCTAACAGCACCTTTAACCAATTATTTAATATTTAGTTATTTAGCCCTATTTCCCTGAGCAGTTATGCTGAGGAGCTTTCCCTTCATGGATAGATTTTAAAAAGCTTTAAGTATTAAAAAGTACTATGAAGACATTTAATGCTACTTAGCAAAAGCTGGTATAAGTCTACTGAAGGGATTGACTGGTATGTATAGCAATGTTAAGCCTGTGGAGAAGTAACCTTAGACTTTAAGGTTTAGAAGTGTAATATATTAAAAATATATTAAAATAAAATACAGCAGGTTACCTTATTCTATGCAAATTAAACCTGGAGTGTGGCTTCTGTATTAGAGAATTCGCTTGCACAAAATGGTTTTCCTAGACTAAAGTGTGCCAGAAAGAATGTAGTGATAAAATGGTAGCTAAAAATCAGCTGAGTCTGAGAAACACATAGATGACATTGCTGCCAAAGCTCTGAGGACAATGTGATCCTAAGGCATGTTGTAGGGCAGAAATTTGCCCAAATTAAACAAAAGAAAATGACCTTTTAACATGTGTATATTTAACATGTCTAGTTCTTATATAGAATGTGCATATGTTCACTACACCCCTGCAGCAGTATACACATATACACATCTTTGCACTCTTGCCAGTTATGTCTCTTACACAACAGCAGAGGTATTAATTGTCCAGTAAAATTTTCTCAAGATTATTCGGCATGATTCACTGCATTCTGGCTAGCTTTGGTGGGCCATGTCCCACTGAATTATCTTCCTCCCCTTCTGGCCACCATCCAACTGTTCTTTTTTCTTGGTAACCCACTCATTTAAAAGGAAAAAAAAAAAAAAAAAAAGGGAAAAAAAAGGAAAAAAACAAAGAAGAAAAAGAAAAAAAAAGAAAAATAACAAGGGATTTAATATTGGATAAGGCATGCTCTCTATATGAAGTGCTTTATAGGTCTTCACAAGACATTACAAGCTATTGAATTCCCATCAAGGAAACCTATTTCTGTTTAATTGTGCTAAGTGCTAAGGTTTACTCTTTAGGTTTTCCATTCTTTTCAGCTTGTGCATTGTTCCTGTGTAGGCCCCTCTGGATGTGAGTTGTGAAGTCATACTTGTCCGTGCAAAGATGCTGGCATATGCTGCACTGGAAAGGTCCACTGTCACCATGGCAACTCATATGCAATGCATACATCACTTCATCCAGAAAGACAATGCCACAGTGCACACACTTGGTAGAAAGTTCATCTTGAGTACTTCTATCAACTTTCTCTGTTTTTACTACATTCAAGGGACCTTCATTTTTTACATTTGGTGGTGCCTTACTCTTTTCCTTGGAGGCACCATTTGCAGTTGGCCCAGGTCTGGAATGCTTTATCGCCAAATCAAGAGGAATGTCATTGTCTGATCCAACAGCTGAAAAATGAGGAGGCAGATTAAAGGTGGGATAAGGCACATAGTTTTGGCAAGGATTTGGTAGGCCAGGCACATGACTCAAGTAGTGTGGATTCCCAGGAACAGACAGCTTATATTTACTCCAGAATCTCAGCCAGTCAGCTTCACTCTGAAAGTCATTGTGTACAAACGGAAGTCCAAAAAGTGGGTACTGGTATTTTTCAATAGGGCTTCCAGGTGGAGAATAGTTTGGGTGTTTCACAGGTCTCATGTATTTTTCTATTGGACTGCCTCTTTCTGAGCTTCCTTTCCCTTCTGATATCGATGAACTGTTTCCTGGGTCTCCAGTACTTTCCTGAGGACTTTTTATCTGAATGTGCAAAGGTTGCATCCTTTTGTGAATATCCAGAGTTTGGCTGACCAATATTGGCTGCTGAGCAGAATGGCTTTTAGTCAATGAACCTGGGGCCTCGTATTTACTGAGGCTGGGAAGCTGAATTTCTCTCTGATGACCTTCAGGTAAATGATCCTCTGACCTCCTCTCTAAGGGGCTTCCATTGACTTGCTCCTCACTGCTACCCCTCTGCTGTTTGTTTAGCTGCTCAGCCTGAAGTGCCTCCGGGTTAAGGCGCTTTCTTGTTCGTCTCCTAATGATCTGTTCACCATTGTTCTGTTTAATGATGTTTAAAGGCCTGGGAGTCTGCATGGAACACACAGAGAATGAACAAAAGGAAAAAAGGAAGACACATTAAACAAATCTGTAAGACCACGCTCATGCATATTTATCTTTTCTTTTGTGAAGAGCTATATTACAACAGTGTTATGGGAATGACCAAATTTCAATCCAAATGCTGGTTCATGACCCCTCATGCTGAAAGTAAACTATAAAATGGCTTGTTTTATCAACCTGAGTCAACTGTCTTAGACATCCTGTACCTATTTACTTAAAAAGGCATGAACTATCCAAACTGTCAAATCATTTATTACCTCTTAGTCCTAAAATATTCTGGGGGAGACGTGTTGAAAGTGGGTGCTGAGAGCTGGGGGAGAGGTGGGAGATGCAAGGCCCTATGCACTAGTGTTGTTTTATGCACTGTGCCACCAGAGCTGCTCTGGGCAAAGGTCCCACTGGGACAAGAACTGAGCAAAGAACTTACCTTCATACTCACCCTGCTCTGGCATGGACAGAAAACACAAGCACACACAGGGCTTGCTGACCACCATTGCTGTCACATAGCAAAAGGGCTGCAGGTCCACTGTGTGCTGAGTGGGATGATGGTGGCTGGAAAGGGACTAAGAAAGATGGAGAAGAAAGCCCAGGAAAACTATGCACCAAAAGGTCTACCTCTACTTTGGTAGCAACTTCCCCTCCTTCACCCCAACTGCATTGCTTCCTAAGTGTTACTGATGTGCTGTAAGCCATGAGGGAGAGAAGGCATCCCCTGAAGGCAGGGCAAAAGGGATCTGTAAAGAAGTAAGCATCATGAAGAGGCAGAGGGAAGAACTAAGTGAGGATTCTGTTTCCATTTGCTACTACCCCACATCAGCTCATGTTAAGTGGCCTGTTTAGAGAAGTGAAAATACCTTTGCGTGGAAAACAAAAGAATGGTACAAGGAAGGACAGAGTTAGGCGTTCTTTAAAGGCTGCCCAAGAGAAAAGCAATAGTATCTGAATGAAAAATGGTGTTGCACCCTCAGTATATTTCTGTACTGGGCAGATGGTAGAGCAACAAAAACTACCTAAAAGTCATTCAGTTTGGTGTGTTGGCAGCTGACATTTTTCCCCCCAAAGGCACATAATCCTGTTTTGGTTGGAGGCCGGAAAAGTGCCCCCCACCCCAGTATTCCACTTTTATGTTTATTTAGAAATTTTAACATTGTTTAAAAAAGCAGATTTAATTTTGGCTTACAGTCAATATCCAAAGTAATCTGTACCTTGAATGTAGCTAAATTTTTAATATACTCATAACTTCAAGCTAATATGAAAACATCCAGAGCTGGAAAAGCACCCATTCTATTATTTGTAGAGATTTAGTCTCTCTCTTGAGTTGCCATATTTCTCTCCTTTCACTTATTTATTTTCCTGTAGTTGGCTTACACTTAATGGTTAACTACATTTAAGCCAGTGCAGCTATTTTTAAAGATTTTACTTTTCTATTAAAATGCTGAATCAGAAGTGTATATACACACTTTGATTTAGATTTTTAATAAGAGAAATTTAAACTTGGCAGAAAAACAGCACCTGAACCAGCCTCCTCACACAGATCAAAGTTGAGACAAAATAGTGTTAAAAAAAATTGCAGTATTTTCTATGTAAATTCTATTCAGATAAAGATTATAGTTTGCACAATCAATAGCCAATTAATATGCATAGGCATATGCTTTTTATTATAAGGTCTGTATAATTTCCTTGCCCTTTTATGACAATTGTAACTCAGATTCTGTGTGAGATCTTACAATGTTGTTGTTCTTATTAAATGTTAAACACTACAGACCATTTTGATATGGCTTCCAGATAACCCTCCAATATTGTGGAAATACTTTTAGTCTTACTCTTCATGCTACAGGCATGAAATCTGATTATGGAAGCAGTCGAAAGAAACATCTTCCTACCTGAGATTAGGGACCCTCACATACTTATTTGAGGCTCCAGCTATTCAAAGTTATTGTAGATTACACTTTATAATTCTTCAGTTTGCCAAAGACTGCGCTCATCTGATTAAACCAGCCATTAGATGATTAAAAAGTACTCTTTAGTGCTATAAATCTACTCATTTTCCTTATTCATAGCAGTAAGGTGCAGATAAAAATATCCTGTATTTGGTTACAACCAAGGCAAAGAGAAAAGTTTAAGGTCACTTCTTGACTTTCAGTGGGGCATTAAATTTAAAATATAGTGGAAATATTACCAGAATTTTGCTTTTTAAATGGCCTATATCAGATCCTTAATTATATGTTATACATAATATATTGAAGACGATCACAAATTTTTCTGCCATCTCTGTATCATCTGGCAATCTCCCCACTCCAATAATATGAGTAACTTAAAAAAATAAAACAAAAGATTCAACAAATGCTTCAATAAATTATTGTGATTATATTTCTCAAATGCCATGGGAAAGTGGAGCCTCCTCGGGACTAATCCTAGAATATGTTTCAATTCTTCACTGAATTAGTCCAAGGATGTTGTCAAGGAATCACCATGGAACAAAATGTAGTGTTCCGTGACCAAGTTTGAGCTATTTAAAAAAGAAATACAGCACCACAATAATAAAGGTCAAAATCATGACTCTGGGGAGACAGCAAATGTGAACATTGTGTATATGTCTGCAGTAAGATGCAGTTTTTTCACTAAAACTATTTTAATAATAGAATCTTGGATTATTATTACACATTTCCTAACATAGTTGTTTGCATTAAAGGAGAGAAATGTGAAAAATGTGGCAAGTTTGATGTAAATTACCCCTTAGATAGATGGAACATTTTTGAAAACACACAGAAAAATTATTCAAGGATATCATAGAAATGGAAATGTAACGTATAGCAAAAATCACTACCATGTTAACATTTGTCAGTCACTATCACCAGTAGTATCTGATAGATCACAGATTTTCCTTCTTACTAAATGAAAGTGAAAAAGGAACCTTAGGCTTGAGTTAACGAGGATGGTAGTGCTAGACAGTAGTAATCCAGTCAAATGGGAGCTAAGAAATGCACAGGTGAGTTTTACTCAGAAGTGTAGCATAATTTAGATGAACAGGGGTCTTACAGAAAGGAATTCTATTCACTTGAATATAGTTTTGGACATTTCCCTAATAACTGCATCATCCTAGACCCCTTAATTCAAAACCATATGTGACACATACTTACTGCATTTTTTCCTGAACAGACAGGCAGAAAGATAAAAGAAACTTTCATCTTTCTGGTGTCAGTCTAAAGAGCAACCCTTTGCATGGCACTGTCTAAAAAGGTGTCCCAAAGGGGATATTTGCTGGATTATTTCAGACTCCTACATATAAAGGCATTTCTATGATACCACAGCAGAGTAGGGCTTAATTAAACTCTTTTCGTTTGCTTGGTCAAAGTTCAATTGAAGATATTAATGTCAAATGTCTACTGAACGGCAGCTTATTGCCATGCTTGAACAGTGGAGCTGAGAGATAGTGCCAGCTTCTTGCTTTTGAGATGCATAAAATAAACTCTGTATTTCTAATAAATGTTGCTGGAAGTGCATTAGTTCATTCCGACTGGTTCATAAGGATGATCCAAGTTGTGCTTGAATTCAAAACTGATTCTTGTAGCTTTTATCTATTCAAAAAGTTATGCTGAAAATCACGGTAAGATCCAACACTACAGCTGAGAAAAGTATACTTAAAAAAGAGAAAAAGGAGTCTGCAAATGGAAGTTCTAAAAATAACCAGACTCAAATGTCAAATTAAAAAGTCAAATGGTCTTAAAATCTTTGTGGATGTTCACCACTGATCAATTTCCTCAAGTTAAATATTTTATCTACAACTTTGAGAGGTGTCCAGGAAGATGATACCTGGAGCAAGACCCAGCCAAGATGCTGGCCAAGACTGTGCATTAGTCCATCTTCTTAGATATTATTGGCCTGACTGGGCTATTCTGGGCCTTAAAAACAGTGAGTGACCCCAGAATGACACACATGGCAAACGGAGCCAACAATTCAGACTGGTGATAGTCATGCTGCTTTTGAAAATTGCAATTTTTTTTTGTTGTTTTATTAAGTGGGCTGGTTTGGCAGGATGTTGTGTAAACAGGATTATTGTATGGACAGTAGACAAGACCATTGAGAAGCTTGTGTCTCAAATTTAATTTCTGGAAAACGTTTTAAAAATGCACACTCTTAGTCACCACATTTATTTCTGAGTTAGGCTCTAAGCCTGATCTGATACATTGTCCTGGCAAACGCCCAAAGACTACCTCGGTTTCCATTTCTGAATAATAGTAACACTTTTGAATTTCATGGGAATGTTGTAAAAATTAATTAATTAGTCACCTGACTCTCCTATGTGTGCCTATTAAAGACATATAATTTAATATTTAACCAGAGGGTCTTAACCAAAAAGATTCCAAGCATTTTGGCACTGATCCAAGGAAACACTTCAGCATGGCTTTCCTGGACCTGGACCAGAGCATTCAACATCTTTCAGGATCAAGTCAAGCATCAATAAGATGAAAAGCAATATAGACAGACCATGATTATTATTTATTCCCTGACTGATCCTGAGGGATGGTGAATCTTCCACTCACCAAGTGATGAGTGCCTTCAAGTGAATAGCTTCCTTGTTGTTATTTATCTTCCATCAGACTTTAAGAACTGTAGAAAAAAGAACACAAAACCACCCCACATCTCCAGGATATTTACTATCAAGAATAAAGGAGGTAAGAGATGTCAAAGTATACAAAAACTGTTTCAAGAGATATTTTGATATAGATGTGATGTCTAATTTCAATAATTTTGTTTTTTGTTATGAGGACTCTAGAATTTAGAGAGCTTTCATCACAACATATTATGATGCCTTTAAAAGGAATTCCCAGAAAATAAATAATTTTCACCTCATTTTGTATCAAAATAATTAAATGCATCACTGATGATCTCAAACACATCTACTCACAGCATCCCAGGCTGTTTCATAATGAATCACATCTGATCCCAAAGTGACCATTCTGCAAAACCCTGTTAGGAAATTAACTGCAGGCCAGGGAGTGGTACTAATCACACAACCAGACAGGACCACAGCTGCCCAGCTTAGCTGTGTAGCTCTTTTTCCTACTGAACAAACCAGTAAGTTCTTCCTACCGAGTGAAGCTTCTGGTAGAGGCCACACGCGTTGCATACATATCCACCATTTGCATTCTTTCGCCAGAGAGAGGTCTTTGTGGTCAGGCAATTGGCACAGAAAACACCCGAGCCTCTACGTCTCTGAAATAGGGAAGAAAAAGGAAAAAAAAACAGGTCAGAGGTGAGTCACATGAGCTGTGGAGTTAGGACAAATCAACACAGGAGTTTTGTCTCTAGACTGGCAACAATGACAGTATAAAACCACACTGCCCATAATGAGGTCAGGTTCAATTGTGCTTAATAGGCACCACTGATTTTCATTATAATTAACCCCAGAGTGATGGATGAGGTGTGTGAAACACCAAAGCCTTTTCAGAATAACAACTTTAACTTTTTGAACTTCAGGTTTTGTGCATTTAATGATGGTTTCTAAACAGCAAATTTTGAAAAAAAAAAAACCTTGGAAGCTGATAGAACATTCTGTAAACTCTCCTGGTTTCACAGCAGATTATTTCTTTTTAGCTTGCTTTATTTAAAAGTGTGATTGGTAACAAGAATTCTGAAACACCACCAGTTCAATTAATTACAGTTTGTACCTGTGTCATACAAATTCCTTTAACAGAGATTATACTTGAGCACGTGATATTCAGTTCCAGTATTTTCCACTTATTCTGAAATCAGTATAAGCTACCACGTATTCCTGCAGCCCACTATGAACAAATAAAAGTATAGTATTCTTGAATGAGACCTCTTCTGAACTTCATTTGAAACCCCAGAGAACACTGTCTCATCAACAGATTTATTTATTTTATTTTAGTCAGGCGAAGAAGGGCATAGTAAAGCTTCCCTAAATACAAATTGATTTTAACCAGACTGAGCTGCGTATTCATCAGCTTTCATAATGATCCAGGAATATTTAAAAGTAGGCATGTTTATGACTATTGCTCATTAAATTTTTTCTATGGAGTAATGATTTCATTAAACTTCTCATTTAAACAAAAGTCAGGCTGTGTTTGTGGGCCCAAATACTAATAAGCAGGAAATGGAATTCTTTAGCTGAGATGAAAATCCGAATTTTAACTCTGCTCCCTTTTTGCAAAGGGAAAAAATGATCAGTAAGAAACCTTCAGCATCTAAGATAAGAATGAGTGAGTACAGGGAAAAACAGTCTGGGTGAAAACTAATTTTATTATAAATTAAAACTTACTAACACTATAAGTAAAAATTTCAGGGTTTCATAAAATTTAAGTAATTTATTTAACTTTAGCTCATACTGAAAAAGACTGGTGTTCATGCCAAAAAAATACAATGGTTATAATTGTACTCTGATACATTTCAAATGGAAAGCTTTCTGCAGACATAATTTTGGCTTCAAGACTGGAACACTTTCTTGGCATTGAAAGGGCATTTGATTCATCGGGTGTTTCACAATGTATCACTAAAAAGACCTGGTGAGCAGCCAGTTCCCTATAGGGTAATTTTTCCATCCAGATGCAAGTGCTATCAGAGGCCCTCGTCAGCTAAACTAATTATGATCTTGCATTTGCTGATGCCTGCTCACTCTAACGTTCGACATCCTCCATTAATCATCAATACAAGGAAAATGAATGAAACGTAAAGAAATGAGGGCTGGTAAGCTCCATAGCCATAAAAATCTGAAATGAGTGCAATAATTTAACAAGATTGGGGAAATGTTTTTAGTGAGCACAAAGTCAGGCTAACAATTGCCCTTTTAAACCAAGAACACAATTTCATTTGTAAAGCAGGTTGTGCTACTTTAAAGTGATACAATAAAATCAAGACTGTCATGAAGATAATCTCTCTCTCACCCCCTTACATCATCCCCTACTTTGTCTCTTAAATCAGATGTAGTAGTAAATGACATTTTTCTCAATGTAGCTAAGGGGAGAACTAAATGGTAATTGATGTCCTTCAGCAAACATCTAACTAGTTGTGCATGTGAGATTCAGCTCACCCTGGAAAGGTGCACTCGCCTACAAGTACATTGAAGGTCCCAATTATTTTTGTGGCTGGATATCCTCGACCAGCTTCACCTGGCTGCTGAAATATTTTCCATGAGAGTACAATAAAAGCCTCACTAGACTAATCCCAATTTGGTCCACTTGGAGGGTGAGACGTTTCCAAGTGGAAATGACTGTATATGGCCAGGATTCAGCTACAACTGCAGAACTGTTCCTTTTCATTCCTACTTTTTGTCTCCTGGCCTATAGTTTCTTGGTGTGGTGTATTAACCAACTGGAGCCTTAATCTGAGTCAGTCTTTCCATTGTTTTATTTCTGTTTGTAATCCCTGAGTTTGGGAAATACCCTCTACAAAGTCATGAAAGACTATTAAAATACAGAGAGGGCAGTCTAGTTTGTATGCTGCATTTCGATACACCTGAAGAGGAACAAAAGGTAAACTGGACACAGAAATCTTCGTTAAATGCAATGCATCTAGTATATCTATAAAATATTGACAAAAGCAACTTATTTTTTCTCTCTTTTCTAAAGAAAGACCTGATTCAAACTGGGTATTAGTTGCAGAGAAATCATACAATGACTACAGCTGACAACAAAATACATAGCAGTAGCTGCATGTATTGAAATCCTATAATCTGCTTATTCACTACTTGAAAATATTTATCTATTTAAAATTTCAAGCAGTCTATCTAAACATCCTTCCCTAAATTTAATGTAAATTCATCTTTTGTGCTGTTCTAAGTGTTGCATCTCATCCTTCTTTACCTTCTCTTATTTCTGTATTATTTAAGGACTTTACAGGATAATCAACATTGATTATTTCAGTACCAAAGTGTTTCAGCGTAGCTTACATACACTAATAAATGAAGAATTTAATCACCTCTGGAAAAGCTTAAATGCTGTTAATTTGTTGAATATTTTGGTCATGAAACAGCTATTTATAGTGGAGACACAGCTTTCGAATGGATTTCCTGCCACAAAACAGGACTAAGGCAGAATTGGACTAAAGATTTTTGACTCTCAGATGCTACTAACCACAGAATGGACCTGCTTGACAAAATACACCTCAGAAATTTTGATGTATGCAAGAAAAAAATGGGGGCCTTTTTAAAAGCCTACGATGTAGTAATCCTATTGTCTTAAACAAATACAGTTTCTTAAAAAGAAAACCAACAAAAACCTAGGCCTTTACTTTCCGTATACCAAGTTTTCTAAGTTATCAGAAATAATTTAGGGTTTTTTGTTGCTAAATGTTAATTAGCAATTCTACTGTTGGTGATGGTACTTCTGCATGGGTCTGTTTGGCTTTGCATACTCATCACTTGAACTAGCCAATAATACTGGCCAATATTGCTGCTTTTCTGGGTAGTCTTGCAAAGAAACAGGCACTTGAGCTCAAATCCAGCAAAGTCTGTGCAGCAGCTATGGCCCACAGCCCCCATACGACCCAGCCACGGGCTCAAGCACTCTGCTAAATACCACCACCAGAATTCACAAGAAATATGTTAGAGAGCTTTTGCTCTCCTTCTAATGTGATCTTACCACAGTTAATTTCTTAAATCAGCACAGTAAAGGTAGGTCAACATGACAAGTCATGAGAGAGTCTGAGCCACAGATAAAAAGGTTTCAGTCTGTGATCAACGCCACTAGCACCAGCTGGAGTTATCAATGAAAATGTCATGTACATCCTTGGAAGAATAAGCCAAAAGGGTCTAAATAACTAAAATATGTGTCTACTAAGTCAAGCTTTAATCATTTGGAGCCTTAGAGCCACTACATTACAGTCCCAAATTCTGAAGGGGCCAGCGCAGAGAAGAGCCTGTCTCTATTTCCATTCCAGTTTTGAGTCTGGGCGTTTAATATCACAGTTGTCTCAAATCACATTAGGCTGAAACTTGGCGTATGTTTTTGTCAGCCCAGATGTAACTTTTTTTTTTCTTCCTTGGTACTGAAAACTTTATTTAAATCAGTTCAGCTGTTTATAATTTGGAGATTGGCCAAACTGGGGAGTGAGGGGAGGAGATTTCAAGTTTTTCAGATAACTTTCTAACAAATCTACAGAGTGGCTTTGCTCTGGGGAAAAAAAAGTATGCACACATTTTAGTATTTTAGTAGTAGCAAAGGAACAAGTGGATTATTATTTTTATGTAGCTGAGTTATGGAAGTTTGTAATTATTCACTGAATATGTCTTGCAGACCTCTCTACTAGCTGTTTTCCCTCAGTAAGAACCATGATGAAAGCATGTAATTGCATAACAACCCTTGATATGCAGAGTATTTACTCACATTTTTTATGGTTTCATATCTTGACCATTTCAAATTGAACAAGTCTTAAACTCAGTATATACAGCATCAAGCCCAAATGCCTAATTTTTTTTTAACTCCTTAGATGATTTTCAGTAGTTACCAATATTTCATTGAAACAAGGCAATTATTACTAGTCCTTTCTGCTAAGCAATAAAACAGCAGAGAATATGATAACAAGTGATTCACTCAGATGTCTTGCCAGGCTAAGGCCCTTCTTCATATAAACTGCTTTAGATTTTAAAGGATTGACTCTACAGTTCACATGATTCCAAAGTTTGTAGCCATGCAGAAGAATACCTATGTTCCACATTATACAAAATGTATTTTATAATGTACTGAACTTTCAGGGTTTTTTCCAGTGGAACTTCATGTAGCAAAATATATCCTGTAAGATCACAGCCAAAAACACTGCTCAGGAACTGAGACTTTTTAGCTAGCTAGATGAAGCAGCGGTGCCTGACACTCTGCTGGTGCCAAATACATCCTGTTTTCAAAATTTCTGCCAGAAGATGCTTTTAGAAACTCAAATAGTCTCCACAAACAGCAGCCAAGCATTTTTCTTACATCACCCTCTTGGTTTTGGACACAACAAGACTTGTCTTATTGCTGATTACTTTCACTTTCCCAACACAAAACAACGACATGATGAGGACTGAGTGGATTTTTTACCATCTCTGGCCTCCCTAACATGCCAGAAACAGAGCACACTGTAATCATGGCTCCAGAACATGAGGTGCACCAAAGTCGTAAGTGTTGCTCAAGAATAAGCATGTGCCTGACCTATTTCCAACGATGAAGTCGGGGAATACAACCATATATGCCTCGCTGAAAAAAAGGCAAAACACCGGCTCT